TTCTCATCCGAGAAGCTTCTCCAGTTCTGGCAAGCCAGGGGCAAAGCCTGAGCAGCTCTGGCAAGGTAGAACTGAGGAAGCTTCTTGGATTGCTTCAGTTGCGGTCGTAACTCGAGACTACCTGTAGTTAGAAAGGCAGGCGTGCACCTTATAAAATAATTGCCGGTATATGTCAATGCATTAAATAGTAACAGAGGTCACACCCTTTTGATGTTTTTAAAAAAAATAACAAATGATGTCATCTGACTTGAGATTACTCAATGAGTTCTTTTGGGATTTAAAGTTAACAAGAGGAAGAGAGAAAAGGAAAGGAAAAATATTTGGAATTTTATACTGGGCACAAAAGAACTTCAGAAAAATATGCCCAGATCGTTCCCTCTGTTTGAACAGAGTCTCATTCAAAGAACGGCAGGTTCTAGATATGTTTTTCAAGCCATTCCATTGTTCAATTGCTTGTTTTCTGCTGCTGTCTGGTATGTAGGAAATGCTGTTTGAATCCATCTTTACTCAAGACTAAGCACAAGATGTACATGGTGCATTTCTTTCCACTGTTTCCATTTTTTTTTCCAGATGAGCTTGATGTGTCCTTGCAAGCTACACAGTGTTACCTGTCGACTGAAAGCACACCACCTGGACCTGAAAAAGCTGGAGGTATCACAGCTACAGGTAAGAAACATTGCTGAACTTCTGGATCATCTGGAAGAGAAGAGACCTAATGGGATAAAATGGTTGGTTCCTAGGGTTCGGTGGCAGAAGAACTGATTTAGGCCAGGAGCTGTAGTTTTAAAGCCTTGTGCAAATTATGAGTTGCTTATGTGGGATTTACTAGAAGCAAAGCCTCATCTAGTATTGGTGGAACAGAATGGACATTAATCATAAGGGTGATCCATGGTTTTTGGGAACATGCCATCAGTACAAATAGAAGATTAAAAGAAAAAAGTTGATAGGGAGAAGTTTAAACATTGAGAAATGGGTTGAGGATGAGAGCAATGGCTAACTTGCTGTGATGGCTGCAGGACTCCCTCTGAATTTTTGATAGACATGGATTCATCATGGAAGAGAGTTATTAGCCCCAAGTTAAGGATTTCGTACACTCTTTGGGTCAGACATGGAGGGAAACTAGATGCTCTGACCTGCCTCCGTCCATCATGTTCCTAAATGGTTGTCCCAACGGTGCTTTTTCAGGAGGCAACTGGATTTTTCTCGTTTTTTCTTTGAAGACATTTCGTTTCTCATCCTTGTCTTCAAAGAAAAAAAAAACAAGGAAGTCCAGTTGCCTTCTGAAAAAGCACCTTTGGGACAACCCTGACCTGGATGACTGGGAATCTCTACAGACTTTCCTAAATGGTAGTCTGCAAACCATCATTGAGATGCTAATAATGGAGAATATTTTGTTAAAGTTAGCAGCAATCCATCCGGCACACAAATAATTCAGCAGGATTCATTTATATAACAAACTTCTTTATATACCATGCCATACAGAAAAAGCCAGAACTCAGAATTTAGAAGTCCATAATCCATAATCACAAAAGCTACAGAATCACAGAAGCACACACACGCACACGTGTGTGTGTGTGTGTGTGTGTGTGTATGTGCATGTATGTATGTATCAGAGGTGGGATACGACTGGTACGCCCCGGTATGGGCGTACCGGTGCCTGCTGGGAGCACCAGGTACCGTTCCNCCCCTTCCTCTTCCCACGTGTTTGCTTGTTTGTGTGCACGCGCACATTGGTTTATTGATGTGTGCACTCACTCAAAATGAGGTTTTAACCTCCGAAGTCCCTACTGCCCACCTGGAATCCCAAAACGCCCACTAGTGGGCGGTAGGGACCAGGTTGACAACCCATGGTTTAAAATATGGGATACCAGGTATTGTAATCTACCCCACCAAATGGATACCAGATTGGAAGTAGAGCTCAATTAATACAGGTTTTCCTTGACTTATGACCGTTCATTTAAAACCAGTTTGAAGTTACTGAAAAAAAAAAGTTACTGACGTACAACCCATCCTCAAAGTTATGAGTGTTGCAGCGCCCCCACGCTCACGTGATCATTTATTTGGGTGCTTGCCGACTGGCTCACACTTATGACAATTGCAGCTCCCTGTGGTCATTGATTGTGATTTGTGACCGTTCCAGCCAGCTTCCAACAAATGAAGTCAATGGGAGAGTCGGGTTTACTTAAGGATGGTGATGATTATCTTCACGACTGCAACGAAAGTCATAAAATTGAGAGTGGTCATGTGACACCTCATTTCATTATCCCAATGCTTCTTATCAATACATTTTTCGGGTTCCAGTTGTAGTTATAAGAGCCGTGATGGTGTAGTGGTTAGAATGTAGTATTGCAGGCTGACTCTGCTCATTGCCAGCAGTTTGATCCTGACTGGCTCAAGGTTGACTCAGCCTTCCATCCTTCCGAGGTGGGTAAAATGAGGACCAAAATTGTTGGGTGAATATGCACTGTGAAGCAGTATATAAGTCTAAGTTCTATTGCTATAAGTTGAGGACTACCTGTATTTTTCTAATTAGGAGAATAGTTCCAGATAGCTGTGTAGACAACTCCAGTTAATTGCCGTGAGCTTAAATTGTTCTGCTTTCTGTTTTTTTCTCAAGTGATGATGAAAATGGAGACCCTCCCGTTGGTGGCTCACCCTGCCCTGCTCTGCACCTTTCCTTTGAGAGCCAGGAGGCCGAACGGAGCCGCTTAGAGAATGGTGGTAGTCCTTCCTCCAACAGAGAAGACTGTGGAGAGCCCACAGATGAAGAGGAGGGAGCTTCTGCAGAACATGGCCTGGTGGAAGACTTTCATTTGGACAGCGATACAGATGTAGAGGATGAAAACCAAATGAGTCGCATCTCTGAAGTGCCAGCATCGTTGGACCCGGAAAAAAGGGACAGGGCCCCAGAATTGGACCCTGACACTGATCTGAATGAGTCTTCACTGGTGGCTCCAGCTGTCCATTGTCCCCAAACCCCAATGGAGCTGGGCAGTGATACAGATGCGGAGGAGAGCGTAGAAAGCCCAGCTGTCTTCAGATTAAAGCTCCCCCCTGCTTCTTTGGAAAAAGAAGAGGACGACACCAATGCGGAAGCAGAAGTGGAAAGCCCAAGTGTTGTTTGTCCAGGAAAACATGAGCCTGTTCCCCCAAAAGAAGGTGACTTCAAACAGTTGGAAGACAATGAAGATAACGCCCAACTTGGCGGGAGAAAGGATGATGATAATACAGATGTGGAGGAAGATTTGCATAATCCAGAAAGTGGTGTGAATACCCTGCCTCCCACTGTCCATAAAGATGTTGACACTGATGCGGAAGCCTCATCTGTCAAGGGAGAGACTCCAGGTAGGACCAAGAACAATGGAGTTGGTGGACACAGTGATAGTGAAGATGTTGACACAGATGTGGAAGACTCATCTGCCAAGGGAAAAACTCCAAGTAGGACCAAGAACCATGTAGTTGGTGGACACAGTGACGGT